TGCCTTGGACCCCAACAATGACATTGGTGGCAAGGATAAGAACAAGGGGCAGGGAGGTGGGATTAGCTATTAGCTCGGCATCACTTTATAAATCAGTGTTTTGTGTGGAATTAAAGCCGCTATGTGTGAAATATGAACATAGCAGAAATGTAAAAAATATCAATATAGTTAAATAATTTGATGATTTAATCATATACAAGTTCTAAACATGGTGGCTTTAATAGATAGTCAATATGTATGGTTTATCAATAACAGTATATTTAAGGCTGGGTGTTTTCAACTTATATTATAAAGAGCCCTTGTTAAATATACTGTAGCATAAACATCACCCCATCATATACTGTACACTGGGGAAAGTGCTGTTTGTGCTTCTGAAGTGAAACAACTGAAACTTTTAATTAATTAAATTAAATGTATTATGTCAACAGATTTCACATAACTGTATTAGGTTATATAATGTTGAGATACAAATATTAGCTTAAACTTAATGTTATTGCCTACAACTAAACTAATACAGTTACGTGACATTTGTTGACATAATACATTTAATTAAAGTCAATGTTTGAGTTTGTTTTGTGTATTTAAGTCCTCCCACATACATCGAAAGTCATTTAATGTCTAGAAATCATCCGGAAATCCCCAAAAGTTTTGATTTGGAGGACTTAAACAGTATGCACGATACTCATTTGTTCTGATAGTTTGGCGCATAAGAAAACAATCTTCAGACAGTTGCATGGCCACCATGCGGACAAGTGTCCCCACAGTCTGCTGGGATGAGTGCTCTGTTGTTAAACTCTACACAAGAACTTAATCAAACTCTTCATGTCTCAGAGGGAGCTCATTGTTTTCATCTGTTGCTCATCACCCCCCCTCCCCCACTCTGCTGGTAACACTGTCCCTCACATGCTGTTTCTGCATTCAAAGCTTTATTGATCTGCTTTAGACCACATTTAGTTTCTTCTTTTTCTCAGTTCATTATTTACTTTTTTTTGCAAACGAATTAATCATTTAATAAGTTATTTTTATTTTAGGAATTAATACCAATATTATTATCATTACTATTATAATAATAAACTGCGGTCGCACTTGTGCGCGCAGTGATGAGCGGGCCCTCGCGTCCGTGCGCCTGTCGGGGAGGGCGGCCGGTCGTCCCGGCGTCAAGCAGACGTGCGCGAGTCCTCGGAAATGAGCCGTTTGTCATTTCTCTTTTCGCGTCCCAGACTCCCAGGTCCTCCGGCAGCAACCCGGAAACGGATGTCGGCGCGCCGTCTCGAAGAAAAACAAATTTCTCTAAAGGCTTGTCGAGAATCAATTATCGAGGAGGCTGTCTGGAGGAGCTGTAACCGAGGATACACTGATTTAGAGGAGAGAGGAGTCTCTCTGGAGGAGCTATAACCGAGGGTACAAAGATGTAGAGGAGAGAGGAGTCTCTCTGGAGGAGCTATAACCGAGGGTACA